TTAGGTTTTTGCCCCAAATTTACTATATATTTGAGGTTGTTATATATATTTGCAAGTGCTGCCACTGAAATTATTCAAAGAAAAAATTGATGGATTTAATTAAAAACAGTTATTTTGTCAATATTGTTATCCTTATTTGCAAAAAAGAAATTAGCTGTTTATTGTTATTACTTACGTCTAATATAACTGTGAAGTTTAATTTTTTTCTTTTTCCTTTTCTGTTTACTTGTCATTTTGTATTTGAAATGCAAAGTCTTTTTAATTAATCGCATAAGAACTGGCATTGAGGCATTGCTTAAAAAAGCGGTCCGTCTCACTTTTATGTACCGTGTCAGTTAATGTTAAATTACCTCTTTTTTTCTCTGCTGCTCACTTGTTCATTTTTTGCTCAAACATATAATGTAGATAGTTGTTTGTCGATTTCTGGTGCAGAATTTAATGCAAGCAATATTGCAACGCACATATTTACTTTTGAGGACCAATTTGACCCTCACCTCTTCAATGCTCTTTCATTAAAAGCATCATTTCTCAGCTATCAATTTCTAAGTCTTTGAGAAAAGTTGGTGTTGTCTGTTTGATAAATAATCCCTCTGAGCAATAAATATCCTGTTCAGCAGCATCGGCAGCTTCATCTACAGTTTATTGCTAATTAAAAAGATCATAATAAAAAACCTTATTCTGCAGTAATGTTGGTACCTATAAATTGTATATATGTAGTGAAAACAACTATTTGTCTTTAACATTAGCAATTCAGCAATTACATATAACACCGCTACGAGAGCAGTAGAAATCTTTATTGTTTGTTAATACCGTCCACATCATAGCAGACATAACGGTGATGCTTAATAGCTACGACTCCTCTGGTAAATCGCCATTGAAAAAAGAAAAGAAACGAAAAGATCAGCGAAATTACACAGTCACAAATTTTTTTGCGTGCCATTTTAGCAGAAAACAATAACAAAAATGGCATAATAAATGCTGATGATAAAAGCATATTCTGTATTTACACATATAAAGAGCTCCCTACTATCTTTCATCAGCAATGATCGAAAATTAAGAGATACAGAATTTTTACTTTAAAAAAAAACATGAACGGCTTTCCCAAGCTACAAAAAAATTTCTTTGAGAAGGAGCAATAGAGTAGAGCAAAATGATGAACGAAGGTTTTTTTTTTGACTGACCCCTCACAAGAAGTATACTGTCCCCACTACACCTTATTTAAAAACAATTCAGCCATAGTTGTATTCGGCCTTAAATTTGAGATTCAATTATTTTTCTGATTTTTAATCTATAGTTCTCAGTACTGTAGGATTTCTATGCATTCCTTACGAAAACACCAAATGACCACTTTTGTTCCCGATTCTACTCCCAAATTTTTTTGTTATGATTTGGTAAAAACAGTTTCTAATTGCTATAAATTTTTTAAAATAAGTTAAAATTTCATTGGTATTATCTTTTCCATAAGACTGCAGAAAAATTATTCCTTCAACTAGTGAAAAAATATTGTAAAATAATCGCTTTTACGCTTGCGTTACCGCATCAGTTTTAGCTACATCCAAATCCCTAAGGCATGACTCGCCAATAATTTGATCAATATCAATCTCGGAATAAAAGTCTTGAACTGGCGTCAAAAATGAACCCGGTATAACCGGTTCATAGTAGTCGTACTCCAATTCATGATCAGCGAAACACGACAGTGATGAGTGCCGTAGCCGAGGAGTTTGCTGCACGGAGCTGGTCTCCCGGGATGAGCTTTCTTCTGCAATTAACCAACGCAATGTCTGGTATGAAGATTATCAGCAAAACTAGACCTCAGCGACTTCAGTGGCTCTTAAGTAAGCGTGCAAAGAGATAATCAGTAAGTGGAAATCTTCTAAACAGGAGCAAATAAAGAGAAGCATGAAGAAAAATATTGAGAAAAAAAAAACAGTTAAAGAACATTAAATGAAAAAAACTTTAGAGCAGAAAAGAAGTCATACAAAGAAGCATCGGTTTAAAAATAACTAAGTAAAAGACGAAAAACCCTAATTAAGAACAAGTTTTACTTCTCGTTCGAGGCAATCGAGGAGTTGACGTCGTTGAAAGCTGTATTCCTATAGAACGTTTTGTTACAGTTTTCTCAGTAGTTAGCATTGTATTTTCGGTATTTCCAGACCGAGCCATCTCACAACCAGGTTGACTGCAAGTATTTTTTTAAAAAAAAGTATTGTTTTCAGGTATGTTCACAAGAATAATGAAAAATCATGTACTATAAGCTACAAATTGAAACTTTAAAGTTCCTGTAGTTGAAAGCAGAACTTTTCTTCCAAAAAAATTAAAAAAAATAACCTGCTATTTAGCAGTGAAAAGTTACTCCGTATTTTTTTGCTAACTTTTCTTTTAGTTGCTACTGCAAGAAGAATTGGAGGTAAAAAAATAATAAGTGCTGATACGAGGGGTGCAGCTAATAGGATATGCTTATTTTCACAGAGCAGTCTCCGATTTTGGTGCAATAGTGATGGTACTTTGAAACTGCGATAATCAACAGAATCTGTAAAAAAATTTCTTTCCAACAAATTTCAGTTTTTATCAAAGAATAAATTCTATTTTTTCCGTTAAAATAATGTCTAAAAAAATAAAACAAACATGCAAAGAAACACAATTAAAAACATGGAGTGTTTTTCAAACTTTTAGTCCAGAAATGTGAAGTGTTTTTGGTATAAAAGAACTTACCGTTGTACCATTCATAACTAATTTGTATGCCTGAATATTGTTTGATCACTTTCAGTGGTACCACTTTAATAACTGCCGTTTTTGATGTCGTGATAGATAACTTTTTTGTAATTTCACTAATGTTACCAGAATTATAAAAAATTCTCTAAAATTTTTCCAGAATAAGTTTTCCCCAAGCATAATTTTTATAATTTTCAAAGCCTTTTATTCAACCAAGCAAAACTGCAACGAAATATTTCCTTACACTATTTGTATAATCATTTGTATTACTTTTATCTCAAACTTTAATTGAATACTTAATACAGCTGCTTTAGCTCACTAATTTTTCAGGTTTTTCATAGACTTCCAAACGAAATCGATCCATCGTCTTGCTGGATTGCAGATAAAGATTTAACTGTTCACCGTAGGCGAGTATAATCCACTGACAAGGTGAATTCTGTTTTAATCGTGCAAAAAATGTACCTTTGGTCTGGTTTAAATGACATCCACAACTACAATGATCTTCCAAATTCTTCTCAACTACCAAACTTCCTTAAAATACGTACATCAAGAAAATCAATTACAAATCATGTAGCAACTAGTAATTAAACTGTCTCTCATTGCATAAATACAAAAATTATCAGAACTTTTGTGTTAAGACCATATTGCGCTATTTTGCTGCTAATTAGCTGAGGCCAGTTTAAACACCAACCTGGGCAAACAGATGTGCATTTTTCGTACTCGACAAAACTTTTTGGACAGAAGGCCCCATTACCCTTCGGCAGCGGTTTGTTGCAGTGCCGGAATCGGCTTCTACTGCCGTCACCACAGCTCGCTGAACACTGACTCCATTCGCTCCAGGCACTCCACTGTCCATTCACATGATCAACTAATAAAATTTAAACAGATACTTAGATATCTAATCTGCCTTTCAGGTTTGTTACAGAGAGGGCGCATAAACCCTCAAGTATTAAAATCCACTTCATACTAGAATCAGTCACGCAATTACTCCATTCCTATTCTCACTGTCCTATAGTATAATTTAGTTATTTTAGTAATACAGGGGTCGGTTCAAACAGGTCGGTCCCTAGCCTGTAAC